GTAAAATGCGACCGCACTGAACCAATACCGGACATGACCAAATTCCTTCTAAATTCTTTGAAAATCATCATAAACAACCAAACTATCTTCAGACATTGATGTATGAAGAAGAAATGTAGTAACATTTCTAAAGAATGAATCTTTATAGCTATATTTTTGAGTAGGAATGTATCGGAGTGTAAGATACATCACTGCATTCAAGACATCAGCCATAAAACTTGTTCGAGCAAGTGGAGTCTTGTATCCTGTTACCTCATTTCAGCTTGTGTTCAGTACTAAAGCTGATGTGTCAGAGTGTCACGGACCAGCGATCACGATTTTTGTGTTCGTCTTTTTGCAGTCCTCAAAGTACGGACATATATCAATTTGCCATAAAACGTGACTCTCTAGTCAATAGATTTCTGAAGATAACAGTGGTGAAATTATAGACTCATCATTCAAAAGTTGATATAAACTGCATACGAACACCCTGGTTATTATATTGATCTCTAATACTAGTATCGTATGGCAAGAATCAGTACGTCTCCGTGCCCCACTGCAGGCATGGGAATGGTCTCTCTATACCCAAGAGTAAAACATTATATTAACAAGACGGCAGGAATTATTATCTCCTCAAAACACAGAAATATAATTATTGGGAAAATCAATAATCAAATTTAAGAGAAGATTTAAAAATCAGAGCATGAAATTTAAAGCAGAATATCATAAATTTCAATCTCTCCTTGAAGCTAGCGATTGTACGTAAGTATATTTGGAATGTCACTGATATACTTTATGTAGGACATGCACTGTAATACGTCAGCACGACAGCCTTTGCTTACAAACAAACACATTCTGACATAGCAATCGGTTATCAAAGACACATGTTGCACCACGCCATTGCATCGGTCCTTATATCAGAGACACACTACACCAGGCATGTCCAACGCGTCGATCGCGGGACAATTTTTGGTCGATCTCATAGGCCTATAAGAAAACTATGCGTGAAAATCATGTAAATTAACTTGTACATAATATAATATGATTATATTCAGATTTTGAAGGGAAAATACATGTTAAAGTAGTCTGTACTTTTAATGTATGTTGCTTTCACAACAAACATCATGAGCGTGTTATTTTTACCAATATTTTTGCTTAAATCGAGGTATGGCGATTGGAGGGGCTGGTAGATCACTGACAGTTTTGTCACTAAAAAGTCGATCAAAACCTGTTTGAAGCTGGACATGCCTGCACTACATGAAACTATCCAACCCGGCTGTACGTCTAACAGAAAAGCATTAAAAGGCTTTCCTTGAATGTCCGAATTAATTTACAATTTGTTAGCACTAACCGAGAGAGACTGCACGCGGAATGCGAACACACAAAATAGACACGTAAAGTGCCCATTTGATATAAAAAGATATGAAATGAAATGCATACACAACTAATAACTCAGAAACAGTGGAGCACAGTTATACTGAAACAAGCACTATACATGTGTAATAAAAGTTGTATCGAACCTAATTCAGCATTCTTTGTAAATTTCATGCTTTTATATGTTTTACCAAAATTTTCAAATACAGTACAGATACCTTTAACTGTCTTGTTTAAATGGACTAATGATGACAGTTTATGTAAAAGCATGTAGTTTATTATTAAAATATATGGTAAGATAATGTTCCAACATAAGATTTTGTGACAATTAATCTTACACCTCAGTTCTATTTACCTTTATCAATAAAATCATTGAAATTAAGGAGTAATTTCAGGCAATACAGATATAGGGTGTAGGGCTTCAACATTTCGCTGACAAGCCGTCAGGGAAGGGGGCATTAGGGTAATTTATTTCACTGTCATATTTTTCAAAGAACTCTTTTTCAATGGCTACAGTATTTATGCCAAAATACGGGTAATCAAGCGATAAGTTGACGATCGTTTTATAGTATAGGAAGCCTCGATATCTAAACAAAACCGGGATGAATAATACAACCTTCTCGTAGATTTCCAGGTTAAACGTCACTAGGGAATAAACGTGCAAGGAAACTACAAAAGAGATAGTGTCAAAAAACATGGGGAATGATAATAGAAACTGTCATGAACAGGAGAGAACGTGGCCCCTTGTGCTGTATAATTTAGTTCAAAATTATCTAGCTCTGTTCATATCCATGTCAATTTATTTTCGAATTGTAACAGGATGTTTTGTTCTCGGCACGTCATCAGCGCTAGATGCTATCGCTGTGCCAGTCAATGGATGGCGTTGGGACAATACACGGTTTGGAACCCTTCTCTTGTTTTTCTTTCGACCCCGTTTTATTCTGCCACTGTTAAGTTGATGACAACCAGCTACATATCTCTCTGTTGGCGAAACAAAAGACTGTAAGGCGTGGAATCTGTTGACATAACATGGATAGCCGTTAGAGTTGAAATTCGAGTAAACCGTAGGCATATATGGTATATGGTATATAGAATTGGCATCAATGATCATTGCAAATTCGTAAATTTACTTTGAACCAATTTGGCAATATACAATATCCGAATACTCAGATGTTAAACTGTAACTCTGAAACTTCATATTACTTCTTGGAGGTTTTTGACATATGCACTATCCTTAAGTTTACACACATCAAGTTAGTAAACCGGTTACATGAATAAATTTTACAGCAATTGGGATTTTCTTTCACAATAAACTTTTATATAGAATTATTTGTAAAATTCATAAATGGATGTCCTACAGAGTGGAGTCATTCAAAACTCTGACGTATAGTGTCCCTGAACTTGTTTCACATATTTGATTTTTTGAAAGCACAGGACACTTCGTGTTTTGCAAAAATGTCGTCATTTTCACGACCGCAGTGCCCCTGGCTACAAATCAGTGCAACTACGCACATGTTGATTCAGAACTCCGAAGATTCTAATCTAAGATCTGAAATTTCGGTTACACTGATTGTTTCAACAAAAGAGGAACAAAAATTAGATAAATTCGGAATTATGAAGCTCGTCTTTGCTTACTTTGTATCACAGCAACGGTTCATCAATTGGGGTATGGGGAAGTATTTTTGGAAATAAGTCGGGTATAATGAGATACAAATATTTGTCTTCTGAATTTATATTAATATCCTTTACATTTTACTGATATTTATAGCTAAAATTTAGGCAAACCAATGATCCTCATCTAATCACTTTATCTATAATCCCGTTGTTTCGGCATTAACTTCAGCTGAACAGTTGCAACAAGTTTAGCAGTAAGTGGTAATAAGAAAAGAAATCCCGTTACAGCGTTTTTTGGTTGGGCCTTGGCCGCTTTCTTAGTTTCTTGATCTTTTACACAGACGGTACGACTCCTTGGACAAGGGATCAGCCCTTCACAAGGCCGGTACCTACATACAGAACAATAAAAACGCAGAATAAAAGCACACAGACATCCATGCCTTGAGTGGGGTTCTAACACACAATCCCAGGTTTCGAGCGGGCGAAAACGGTTTATGCCTTAGACCGAGCGACACTGTAATCGGCCCTGTACCAGGCTTTTTTTCCTTGGCACTACAGCCCCAGTGGGCCTAGGCCTACCGCCATCAACTTCTCCGTTTCCTTCTGTTTTTCTAGATCTTACACATTCGGTAGGACGCCTTGGGGCGATGATCAGCTCGTCGCAACGCCTCTACCTGTATACAAACACAGAAAAACGCACACACACAAACTAAACATCCATGCCCTGAGTGGGATTCGAACCCACGATCCCGGTTTCCAAGCGAGCGAAGACAATATATGCATTAGACCGCTCGGCTACCGTGACCAGCTGTATCAGGCTTAGAGATACAAAATTAACTTCTTCTCTTTGATTAAAAATGTCGGTCTGCGTTAGTCGGTAAGCAAGACCTTGGGTGCTATTTGTTACCTCTGCATCTAATGTCTCATACTCAGGCACTCTGAGAACATGTATTTGTAACAGACTACTGCATTTTCTTCTATTTCTCTACCGTTTCATATGCGTTATTTCTCTATATATGTATTCTATTACATCTTACCTTCGTTTATGTCTCTTTCTCATGCAAAAATATTTTTATAACAATCCATTAAACACCTGTTGCTGATTTTTTTTTTTAATTTTCCGCACTAAGAAACCTGATTCTTGGCCTAGGCGTTTTGAACTCATATTAATCGTCACTGTTATCATCATTTTTCTTGTACTTTTGTTATTCTTGCCAATGCCTAGTTAAATTCATTCCTCTTATTTTTTCTGAATTTATTTGTTGGGAATAAAATGAATATTTAACACGCTTTGTGTATTATATATTATACATAGTTAATTTTTCTTCCATACTTTTTAAATTTACAACTCAGATCTAATGTACTAATTGTAAAACACGACATAGTTAGATGAAATAGACAATTAATCCTAACTGCTGCTTCAAATAAGATTTATTAGTATATAGGGCTTGGCCACTAATTCTCCCATAAAATCCCTCGAAAGTACGAAGTAAAAATTTTGACAGAGCGGGAGCTTGTGTAACTAAGATGAACGTATGGAGCATGAGACAAAAGAGAATTAGAAACACTTACTAATAAAATCCTTCTGGCTTCAAGGTTTCTCCAACGATGTGCACTGAAAGGGAGAACTGAGAAGTATCGTGTCAACTATAAAGTGAATCAGTTAGTAAAATTAATTAATTTTGTTTATGATCTATAAGCGCCTTCGAAATCCTTCTCGGTCTGCTGGATAACAGGATTCCAAAATTCACGTGTCCACTTCCCTGTGAAATTAACGGAAATTATTTACCGACTCAGTAGCTAAAGTTGTTTCTTGTTGGCTTATCAGAGGCGATTACCATCTGGCCAGAAATCGGGATATGCAATACACTGCGATTTATCAAGGGATCTGAGAGTGCACTTGCTCACCGACGGGGAAACCAGGGAAATAGCTTCCAATACAAATGCATAAATCACGGAGATGTGCTACTGAACTTCCATTTTTCATGAAGGGGAATCCAGTCACTAAAAGCGTGTGTTATGATCTGTTACAGTTCCCCCCAGTATTGTGGACCGGGAGACGAGCACGGATATGGTAGTACGCGAATCTGCCAACGTGACACTTACTTGCAAGGCAACGGGCTACCCCGAGCCCTACGTCATGTGGCGTAGAGAGGATGGCAAGGACATCAACTACAATGGCGAAAATGGTAAGGGCACGTGCAAAACACTGCGATGCAGCAGCCAGTGAGGATAGAGTCGAATAATACAGAAACTTCTGAAACTCCTGGAAGCATAATTGTACGTCGATTATTGAATATACGCGCAAATTTGTGTACCAGAAACCATGTAAACAAGGTTTCAAAGCCCTTATGTCTCAGCGACGGCCAGTGGAAACTAGCTGTGTTGTTGCTTCTTCACGGACTTGTATTCAATTAAACACAAGGACAACTTAATCTTTGTCTTATAAGCAACCGACAATAAATGCCAGTTACTAAAAATGTCACAGTTTTGTATTGTTTTCTTATTTCTCGGTTGACATACTTTCCTGCCCGAAGTAAGGCCAAAATTAATTTCATAATATTCTAGCTAATCAGACTTGAGTCTCTAAGAATTCTCTTTCCTCATGAACACGTCAGGCAATTAGTAAAAGTAACTTCAAAGTATAACAATATAAAACACCTGTAAAACTCAAACTGCTAGGACTATTAATACGGCCTTCAACCGTGCTCATTCTGGAATTCTATGTCCGCTTGCCTAACTACGTCCTTTTAACCAGTCAACGTAGCGCGTAGTCTTATATCTGTGGCTACAGGCGGACACGAAAAAACATCAGGTGATATGAATCCTATTACAGATTGTATGACGGAGGTACTCCTATCGAACACTACACGGGATACCGTTACCGTAAAGGATATTTTTACGTGGTTTAATTCAGTATCTCCAGGCGAATACCGGATTGGCCTGTAAAATATGCCACACCGCCTCCTTCCAAGTCCTTAGTTACTTACCATCCAGTATTAATTTTTCTTATCACTTAAGGCTATAAAATGCCTACAGTTTAAATAATGTCAGTAAGTAACTTACAAATCTCTCTATAAGTGTCCCTACTTCCTAGGTGAATAGTTCGACTTATGAACTGAGAGTGCATAAGTTGGTCAAGAAATTTATGACTCTCCTAGAATACGAAAATATATCTTATTCACAGACTCTCTGCTGCACGACAAACCAATCCGCACCCTTGCATTCCACTTCATTCCGATCTACTTTAATATTATCCCTCATGTACACTCTAAAGGGTTCTGACGGTGATGGATGACACACAGAATTACTGGGTTTTTGGACTTTTTCCATTGTCCGGAATTCTAGGCAATAGAGAACACGACGTTTCGGAAACTGGATCTGCTTCCGTCTTCAGTTGAGAAAGAGAGACACCTACTCAGTTGGGCCCCTTAGAAAGAGCTAATGTCTAGAGTGACTGAGATTAGCTCTTTCTAAGGTGCCCAACTGAGTAGGTGTTTTCATATCTCACCTGAAGACGGAAACAGATCCAGTTTCCGAAACGCCGTGTCCTCTATTACCTAGAATTCCGGACGATGGATAAAATCCAAAAACCCAGTAATTCTGTGTATTATCTCTCACGTATTGAAACCACTACCTACGTCACATACATTTTCCGACGGCCTTCTAACGGCATGGATTAAACAGTATGGAATACCCGTATGTTGTGAAGGTTATAACTGGTTTCGAGTTAGCAGAATCAGATTGTCCCTTCTTTTCCCCGGGAGGGGGGGGGACTGATAGTAAAGTTAAGTTATTTGCATGGCTCGATAATTTCAAGGAAGATCCTCTATATTAAGTTTCCCAAACACAGGAAACACAGGATTGTGACGGGCGACATATAGTGCAGAATACCATGGCTACTGTACAAAGGCTCCGATACTGCATAATGTTCTTTTAGCGACGATCCATGCGTCGGGGGTTAGTTTCCCACTTCCGCCTTCTGTCACACATTTATCTATCGCGATTTATCATTTAGCTGTCCTATTATGTAAAGACACGTCGTCAACAACATGTGTTATGACGTCTTTCAAAAATGAATGAATGGAGGAAGTGACCTGTATTATTATCTCGAAGTAATGAGGAGAACCACTTTACCAGCAACACTTCAAGTTGAACGGTTTCTTCTGTAGAACAGGTGAGGCAGTCTCACAGCTGAATTCAATAATAAGGTCATAGGTTCATACACAAATTGTTCGGCTTAAAGTAGTCAACATTCTTCAGAATTCTATTATGATCTGTTACATTTTAGTGGGATTCTTTTACAGAACAGAAAAGAGTAGAGAACAGTAAAGAAATATAAAAATTAGAGCATCGTTTAGCATCTCGCGTAATAAGCGTTAAACAGTTACATAAATATGTAGCGAAAAGTCTCATTGTGTATCCAAAATTATTTTTTTGGAAATAAATTGATTATTTAATTACAATTTTAATATATACATATGTATATGACTAAAAGGGGATATCAAATGAATGAAAGGAATTAGCATGTATATTCACAATTATTACCGCCGTGGGGCAGCATAACGATCCCTTTATGCATTAGCAGGTTAGCAAGAAGGAAACAGTGTTGAACACGATACTGCGATGTGCGCTACGTAACCTGTTAGAAACAGCTTTGGATATGCTTTATTCACCATGAAAACGGTTTATTGTCGCCTAGCAATCTAATTAAAGGCACAGAGTCGAAAGGATGTTATACACACACACACACACACACACACAGGTCGGATCAAACTCACTGTCACTTTGATGTGCTTTGGAGAATTCATAAAAATAAAATACCATAATAATCTCTTTGCTTCGTTCATTCTCTGGAATTCTCATCAGTGAATGTAGTAGCATGTTTCATTGAGTTCATCTGGCATATAATTCCTCTACCGAGGAAAACAGAGCAGAGCGTTCTCTCTCAAGTCACAATAAGTCCTATAATAACAAAAGTGTTTACAATCATGGCCACTCAGTTTGTTGTGTGTGCCCGTTATCCTTGTTTTCGCGCTTGAGACCCTACTGCTTCGCATGTAATAACTACGATGACCAACGTTTAGTCTCTTTTCTATATGTCTATAGCTTTTGAAATATAAACTTGAGAGAAGGAACATGATATGCGCCTTTGGTAATGGCGGATTATCCGTGAATCTCATTTGTTCAGACTGCAATGTGATGGAATATTGGATGTGAAATATCTGAATTGGAAACCCGATCAAAACGTGTCCCACTCAGTTCTGATGTGAATGTCTGACAGTGTAGTGTCTCCGTTAAATTATACTAACGAGGACTTTACAAAGAGCTGTTCTGATGGATTATCGAAAATCTCTTTATGTCACCTTCCGAATTAATGGAATGTAAATATTTGAGTACTGAAACATCCTCTTTCATTAAAGCGTTCCTATTCATGCGAAACGCTTACAAATTTCAAACGGAAAGCAAAATTTCATGATACCTGAAGATAGTAATGACCACCTGCTGCATATTATACGATGGGGTACCCAAAAGAAACCGAACTAATTTTTTTGTGGGCAGAGCTTTTGTAGTACCGCGTTTTGCCGCTATGAGCGCATAGAGCTAACATTCCTGAGTCGATAAGCCGACTACCGTTGCTTCAGAAGGTAAGGACTAGTTTCGGCAGAGTTTATAGTGACAGCTCTTTTGTGTGATCGTCGTTTTTGCAATGGCCCGAACACATGAAAATGTTGAAAAAATTCGTGAAATCATCAAGGAAGATCGACGACGGACCATTGAAGAAATTGTGGAGCTGTCGGGAGTGACTTGGAGCTCAGTTCAGCGAATTTTGACAGAAGATTTGGGAATGAAAAGGGTGGCTGCGAAATTCGTTCCATGACTGCTGACTGCTGAACAAAAACAAGGTCGCATGGAAGCATGCTGTGCTTTGAAAGAAGAGCCCCGAAATGATCAAAACTTTTTTTTGTTTCCTCGACTGAAAAGAGACATGAAAGGAAAACGTTTTGCTGATGTTGCTGAGGTGAAGGAAAAAACGACGGAGGCGCTGTCAAGCATCTCAAAAGATAAATTTAGACAATGTTTTGGAAAATGGAATAAAAGAGTAGACAAATGTATTAGTGTAAGTGGAGAGTACTTTGAAGGGGATTGAAGGTTTGTGCTTAAAATCTGAATAAATAAGTTTAAAAAAAATAAGTTCGGTTTCTTTTGGGTACCCCCTCGTAACATATAATTCAAACCAAAGACGATAAAAATTACCAGTAACATAAAAAACAAAACAGGTAATGTATACATACTCGTATATATGTATATTCTATGTTGTCATGTGTATGGGTGACTACAGACGGGGTTTGGATTGGTAATCGGATTTATTGAACTCTTATGTATCCGTAACTGCAAGTAATTATAAACGATTCACTAATTCACACACTTTGCTGTATAGTACACGCTTAAGTCTTCTCAGCCTGCTGTGTCTTCACCAGAAGGGTAGACCCTTCCTCTGGGTCTTCAGCTACCAGTTTCTCACATCAACAGCTCACAACGACTATACTCCAGCCGTCATCTCACTCACTCACTCACTCACTCACTCACTCACTCACTCATCAACCAACGTTTCACTGACTCTGTCTACTAACTCTTTACTAACTGTCCTGCTTATAACATCTTGGCACGGACCGAAGGGAAAGCACTCTTCATCTATTGCTGTTTACTGACCGTTGCCTAGTAACGGATATACATACCAAAATATTATTACTCTTCTCCACAGCTTGAAATTGTGGCATCATAGTTCTATTGCAAGATTGCATATTTCAACTTTTCATAACATTCTATAACATTCTAAATGCATAAAAGATCAGTGGAAGGAAAGGACTACTTGGAAGATCTAGACATACTTCGGACGATAATATTAAAACTGATCTAAAATAAATATAGTATCAGGGTGAGAAATGAGTTAATGTGACTAAGAACAGTCATATGAGGTGGTTCAGGGAATAAAGGCGATTAACCTTCGGGAATATTTCAATGGCTGCGTGACTAGTAGCAATCCATGAAGGACTTTGCCCCATGCAGTCAGTTGAAAGAAGTCAAGTTTGAAAAAAAAAATGTATAATTCTCATTCGACCTATCACTAGTCAGATTTCTTTCACGGGAATGAATTAGATCAGTGGTTTCCAAACTATTTCGGGCC